ATTCTTTACTATGGGAGCTGCTAGATATGCCGTACACCGACATGTTCGAGCAGGAGAGTGGCCAGCTAGTGATCGACAAGACGAAGAGCTCGACGGCACTGCGTATGCTGTCCCTCTTCGCCTTCCACGATCCTAATATTTTCTCTCGGTACAAATTGGTGCACGGCGACAAGGATCTTTTCCGCCTTGCATGGCTCAAGACCAAGACTACGTTTCACATGATCGCCAACCCGCCAGGAATTGCTGGCACAGTACGAGGGACAAAATTCTGCGGCATGTCGATGGCCCAATTCGATACAAATGGAGAGGTTTTATTCCTTCATCGCAATGCCCAAAAGTTGAAAGGGGGACTTGGAGCAAAACGCAAACCTGACGAGAAGATTTGGACGCATCTGCAGCGCTTCCGCTACCGTGCTGCCTCACCTCACGCGCCAGAAGTTGAGGCCACGTTCGAGGCGTCCAAGCCAACTTTGCCGCCAAATAAGAAGATCGACAGCCCACATGTACCAGTGGGGAACTTGAATATGCCGTACAGCCTGCTTCGTCAGAAATATTCAGTCCACATTTTTAATGGTGCTCCAGAGTTTGACGAGACCCAGTGGTGCTACGGCCAGTCGATGCTGACGGCACCAAGGTACAAGACTGTTGAGTGGGAAGACACGGCATTCCCAAACGTGGAAAGAAACTTGTTGCAGTATGCGAATGAGGCGGTGGCATTGCTGCCACAGTCCGCAGTGGAGTACGTCGTGCAAAGTGACCGTGAGGAGGCAAGTTGAAGTGAGTGTCAGCAAAATCGTGCGTTTTAGTGTAAAATGTAGCTATTTATTGCCGCGGAAACTGTGACAGGCCCCCTTAACAAAGAATACGCCCTCTGATTGGCTGGATTCTATTAAAACCCATATAATATAATTGTGGATGAATTCATTGCATATCCCTCTTCTCAAACACTATCAAAAAAGACCTTCCAAAACTAGATACCTGTCATATCGATTCTCTCCCCGATGTGCCTAACGTATCTGAATACCCCTACCCTGTTTATTGCCGTAAGACATCAAGCCATTTGTTCAGGCATCATACCGCATTCCCGTCTCACCGGCGCCCATGCATCGATCTCCGAGCTCCTCGCCGCGCTCACAGCGTGGGCGATGTATCAATCCCGTGTTCATGTACTTGGCTATTGCGCTCTACGTCGGGTGCCTGCTCTTTTGGTGGCTCTTCCTGAAAGGCGACGCCAATCGTGTGCGGATGTCGAGATGGAGTAGCGCTATCTCCAGTAAAACCACAGTAGAGCCAGAGATAGAAAGCAGCACAGCAGATACGCTACTAAGAACTTTCGCTCGAGGCATCGGAGCCACGACCCCCGAGTTGTTAGAGCTGCACAAGAAGCACCGTATCCCAGACTACAAGTGTGTGGGCTGGAGACATACCGGCAACTGCTCGCCCGATGGACCGAGAGAATCGGAAAAAGACCTGAACTGTGGAGGAACTGTGCAAGCTGGTGCATCAGGCTACTGTTTACTTCGAGATGAAGCCACCGGTGAGGAGATTCAGGCCATGAGAATGAGCTGCAACTCATTGAGGAACAGAACGACGTTCAAGTGCAGTCAGGCTGTTGACTTTGCCCGCGTGGCGCCACAGGTGAATGCGATTATTGCAACCAAAAAGAGAGAGTTACAGCAGAAGAACGAAAAAGGCGAAATGCAGTTAAGAGGAAGCGTGCGGAGCAACGGGACCGTTACGTCACTTCACAGTGCAGAGCCCACCAGAGGAATTGTGATGGTTGTGTACCCGAAGTTGCTGCACAG